CAGTAAATAGTATATGCGTATGGCAAAGGTTTCAAGAGTTCATAAAAATTTTATTAAATTGATTGATTCGCAGAGTCGTCACATGATCCGTAATCTTGGATCGCCATCGTCATGGATCGGCAGGCCGGATAGATCGACGATGTCACGTGACCCGTAATTTTCGTGGCCGCCCTGGTGGATTCATATTTAACAATAAAAATCATTGAAAGTGTTTTGTTATCAAATTGGATAATTGTTAAGATCATCATTCAATCTTTCAAGTAAAAGATATTATTTTTTAATGTAATCAGTAATTAATTAAAAAATTGCCAAAATATATAACTATCAAATTCAGTAATTGTTAAAGGTATATTATAATTAATATAATCAGTTATTAATTAATGATATTATAGTAATATTAATGTAATTTTTTTATTGCTTAATAATGAATAAGTTCAATGTTCGAAAGAATATCTTCTATACAAAAGGTAATTAATTTAATGTAATCATTTATTTAATAAAGTAATTTTTTAATTTAATTAATGGATATTTATAAAAGGTAATAATTTTAATATATCATTAATACAACAATAATCTATTATTTAATAAAAGCAAGTTACATTGCACAAGCAGTTGCTCAAGCAGTTGTAGCAGTATTTAGTAAGAAGAAAGGAAGAGCAAGATCACCATTGCCCTCAAGCTCTAGTAGCTTAGAAGCTACTAGTAGCGAAGATAAAAGTAAAGTAGAAGATAAATCAGTTAAAAGAAAAAGAGGTAAATTAGTTAGTAGGAGTAAAGGTAGATCAGGTAGTAGAGATAGTGGTAGGTCAGTTAGTAGAAGCACAAGTAAAAGCACTAGCAGGTCTAGTAGCAATAGCAGCAGTTCAAGTAAAGATGTACTAAAAGTATTGACAGATGAGCAGAAGTCTTACTTATAAATAAATATTATTTGTCTCATGTTTGTGTGTTTGTCTGTTTTTTAATTAATTTACTTTTATTATTATTATTATTATTATAATTAATTTACCTTTATTATTGTTATTATAATTAATTTACTTTTATTATTAATATTATTATAATTATTATTACCAAGAACGAAATTAAAGTATTAATAGAAGGTGGTAAGCTATCTGACCTAAAGCCTGATTTGACTAAACAATAGGCTAGCCAATCGCAGAACATAAGGCAAAAGCTAATTCTGGCTATTATAAAAAAATTACCAGAATATTAGCACCATTCTGACGTGATTGAAAAAATTTTAAAACAACATCATAAGACGCAATGACAAACAGCAACAATAAATGCTGATTCAAAATTAAAGGCCTACAATTGCATCAGAATAAGGAAAAATAGTAAGATGAATGA